GCAGAAGAAACAATAGACAACTTGCATTTGATAGACCAACGAGCAAAAAAGGGCTTTATTGGCTAATTTATGTGACTGGACCAACATTTTAACGAGAGGATTAGTTCCGAACCTGCTTTCGCCCATCTTATGTTATTATCTTCGTTTCTTCGTTAACATTCTATCAGTGAACCGCTTGAATTTTTGTTTGCATTCGGAAAAGGCTGAATGTTAAATTTTATAAAAAATTTATAACCAAGATAATAAGATGATTGCGGTAAATAAGGATATTCTCATTTGTCCTGGAAAAATTATTCCACAAATCGAATACGAAATAATTCTACTGGAAAGCTAAGGACGCAATGGAAAAGAAATCTTTTCGTTGTTCCTAAACATTCCAGATTTCAAAAACAATTAGAAAACTGTAAACGGAAACATTCAAGCTACAATCGCAATCCCTAACAGGTTAAAAGTAAATTAAAAATTATCCTTTGGGAGGTACCACCCCCAAAACAGAATCACAAGGAATGTTTTATAATTATCTACGTATGCCCACATATAAATATGCTAATGTACCAAAAAATATATGCTACCAAGTGAGTAAATTTACGGATGTTCGTAGTTTTCCACAAGTTTCGCTTTCGTATCTCAGCTCCGATTCGGCGTGTGGGGTTATAGATTTCAAGGACTAATTTTAGGATTCTTCGGCCGCTTCCCACTGCCGCAATTTTTTCCTATGCTAGGCACGCATGTACATATACATGTGTATTTGTGTGAATATACAGCACATGTATCATATATACGACCGTGTCCGTGATAATGGTAGCACAAAAATAATTGTGTGGCGTCCGAATGCCGTCTTACCGCGTCGCCCCCGCTTCCATCATTCGTCATACTATTCCAATGTCCTCGATTCCATGAAGTGGGTGGGATTGTGCTGTCTTCGTTAATCTGTTTGCAATATACACGTACACAAAGACGTTCGTACTCGTGTATTTGGTACGGGCCAACACGTAAAAAGATACACGAATGTACTGTCATAAAATGAAGATGACCTCGACGCTCTCGTTGTTTCGTAACAAGTGAACTTGCAACAACCAGACACGTGTCGTGGAAATTTCGCCGCTGCTGTATTTAGATCCTTCTGACTGACTGACTCGACTTTGGCCTACTTAACTTAATTCATACTAATAATAATGCCGCTCTCGCAGCTCAAAAAGAACACGCCTTACTGAACACATTTATATTTGCCTTATGTCTCTCTCTATATCTAAATTTTCAATGTAAAGGTTACGTTAAGGATACACACTCGTGTCAATTTAATTGCATGTGAAAGAGAGATAGATACCGACATGTTTTCTGTAGTTTTCGTTGAAGTCCATAATTTTATCATGGAAAACAAATACAAGCTACCAATCTAGTTAGATCGTCATACAAAAATTACAGACGTAACATGAAGTTGAAGATATGTTTTGCCTGGTATTTAAAATTCATGACATGATGATGATAATTAGTTTAAGTTATACATACAGGTATGCTGAAGGTTTACCTGCATAAATATTTTTTAGTAAGAATGCAGAACTGTTGATGGCTGCGCTACAACACGCTTGTTGCAACCTTGTTCCAAATTCCTCGATTTCTATTCTAGGCCTAAAATTTATCTTGTGTAAACAGATAATTTTAGGCAGCGGTCGACTGCAAAATCTCGAGCGCGTGGAAAATAAGTCGTGTATTGTGCAACGGACTTATGCTAGTAGGTTATCCGAAATTCCCTTTTTAGAAAGTGTATAATTTGAAAATACATTATATTTCATTAATTTCAAATTATATAACTAGATATATACATCAATAACAGAAATACCAGAAACGATTTATAAGGAAATAGGGAGAGTACATTAAGCTTTTTACAAAATTTTATAAAAGAAACTGCCAAAAGAATGTTCTTTTGGAGGATTTGTACTGTATTGTAAAGAGTTGTCTAAAGCAATTAATAAAAACAACTTTTCTGCTTTGCTTTTGTTTCAGTTTGAAACGTTGTTCCCTACCGCGTAACGTTTTTGAAGACTTCCCATCAAGGATCCCTGTGTTAGTCTTCCACTTGTCATATAAATTATAAAAATCACCGAACAACAATTCAGAATGGTTTCAAGTCTCTGTATGCATTTTTCTAAACGGTTAAGCAGCCCCTGCCTTTGAAATTCTGAGGGTGGTTGTGGTAAGCTACGTCTCGGCCGGTACTCGGCAAACACCTGCTCCATCGTTTTGTGCAACCCTTTCTTGAAAGGAATATACGAGGTTAGCCTATCAAATTGATCATCTGGCGAAAAAGGGTTTTAGTATTTACTGTCTGCGTAAAATTAGGTCAGAATGTCAAAAGGACGGACTGATGGTGTTATTATTACTGCAACTGGCCAGGAAACCGTCCATCTTACATTGGATTTGATTTGTTTCGGAAGAACCAGTTGCGCCCCACGTAATTATGGAAAGGTGTTCATTTTAGGCTCTTTTGACCTATTAAAAAACCTTATTGACACTTCGCAAAGACACTCGTCGGCAATATAATCCAAACATTTTTAGGTAGAAGCAATTGTTGAATATTTTATTACAGTTCGTCGAAACGACTTACTGCTTTGTTCTATACATATTTAAAACATGTTTCATCACAGCACGTCAATAGTTAGTTTCGATATTACATTATTTTGTCGGTCATCTGCTAGGTGCATATAAATATTCTTATGTATTTTGCGTCTAAAGCAAGAAAGGAATGCGTCGAGGTGAATGTCTTCCAAAGGTGAAAGAAAAAGCAAACAAAACATCGCATCGGTTGCAGTCTGTGTTAGTGCATCCAAGTCTTCTTCGGTTTCACCTGTAAACTCAACTTTGTCTGTAGGTACGTACCTATCTACCTATATTATGCACCAACTTCGTTGGTCAAGTTTCTCGTTGATTTTTTACTTTTTATACTCTACCAATCTCCATAATAACTGGCCAAACTAGTCTCCGAATATCGAGGTCTTCTTTCGCTTTCCTATTTTGGAAACTGTGTGTATATGGATGTAAAATCAGGGACGTATTCAGGGAACTTTACTGTGTCCAAAAAACGTTTCGCAGCCATTGAACGACGTAATTTAAATTTGGCACAGTTATAGAAGTCGTGACAACAAATTTGTATCTATAATAAAGTATTGAAGAAAATAATTCTTCCCGTAGATACTTTTCTTATATCAATTTAAAGGTATGTATAATTTAGGAGTAAAAGAAGTTGTAAGAAGTATATTTCATCTGACGAAATAAAAATTAAAAAAATATATATACGTCTGTGTTTGTTCCCCTGCGATTCCTTTTTTACTATTATTGCGATCTTTCAATATCGGCACAAAGCAAAGGAAATAAATATTTACAAGATCCAATAAAGTTTTAAAGAAATACAACCTTTTAGAGTTTAATAAAATGATGAAAAGTCGTAGTTCTATATTGCAACCCTTTTCACCCTTTGCTGAAAATATAAACCTGCAGTAATGTCGTTCTGGACAATAAAAGTCCCTTGCGGCTCCTGTGATCTGCAATATTGGCAGGAATGTCCGATATACCTACCATTTTTTATGGCTAATAAAAAGTTTTAAAAGTCGACAGTCGAGTTTGCAACAAACAACCGCCGGTGAATATTATTAGCCACAAACCCAAAGCCACCCTCTAAGGGACGATAATCTTTTGCAAATATCACGCTGACTGGGACAAAGAGACCGTTTTACCCTAACAAAGGCATCATTGTTAAAGAAATCTGTTCGCGTTATTCCTTACCAAGTGACTTTAAAAAGTCTTCTTGGTTTTATCAAGTCGAGAGGGTCATAAAAAGTTTGAATGCATTAATTTTCTTGAACTAAAAGCCTTTTGAAATTTTAAAAAGGCCAAAACCATCACAGAAAAAGGTGTATCTAATAGGTAATTTTGTTTGTTTTTAAAAATCATTATATTAAGGCATCTTTAGAAGATTTTTAAAAATATGTTGTGGAATTTTATTGTCAAATATGTTTTTCAGTAATGTAACCACAAAAACAATTTATTTCATTGCATTTTCGGCACAAGACATGCAAAATACTCCCAATGTAGATACTGATGTAAGTGTTGCAGTAGGTAAATACCAAAACATATTCTCTTTTAAGATTCTTAATCGAAGTTTTCGAATTATTTTGCGTTTATCGGAAACGATTGGAAAAAATTCCATCATAACTAAGTTCGTTACTCTTTGACTACAAACGTGAACTTGGTTGTAGTTGGGTGCTGTTAAATTTCTAGAACGAATCCGCTCTCTAGAGGTGCCAGTTTCAATGCATCTAAGATTAGGAAGGGTCGTTCACCCACAAATGCATGTTGCCTGCAGTTCAAATCGACTGCACTCTTCCGTCTCTTTAATTTAATAATAAAAAATAGTGTGGATGTAACCAACCCACCACGCCGCACCGACCACCTTTTACTCAACCGCGAGTATCACATTTGGAGTCCCGTTTCGATACAAGTTTCCGTCGAAATGAAGGATTTGCTTATGAAAACGAAGGCGAAATATTGAAAAGATAACATGTCGTTGACTTCGAAAGACGATTTAATGACAATACTATCTTTCTTTGCGCCACTAATAAATGTTTCCTTACTAATAAAGACATTTCGTTTTTCTGTCGCATACACGGTGGCCCTCCTAACTTCATTAGAAATGTATCGTTGCACAGCCAGATTTATAACACAAAAAGAAAAACACATCCTTCCTGTTTTGAAGCGCTTCTTATTCAATCATCATGTGCCTAAGGTGGAAAGGACCGCCAGTGCGTACTAGAAAATCATTTTCCATTTTTCAAAATAATAAATCTGTTGGTCCGTGTCATGTCAATTTCAATCAAATGAAAATATGTTTGTATTAACAGAAATGTTGAAATACAATGTTATTTAAATATTTTAGTTATTTTCGTAACAAAAAACTGAAAATATCGAAATCTATTTGCTGGTATTTAGAGTGAAATAGTGAAAATATGTGCGCGTAAGAGTTTACAATGAAAATGCCTCATTTTCAGTTAATAATAAATTAGGAGTCATCAAGATAGTTTTAGTTTCGTCAAAAACACAAATTACACGTATTATCGCCAACTTCCGAAAGTTGGTCATTAGCGATGGCAGTTAATACGCAAGAATAATTAGAAGAATGATTGAGTTGGTTAAAATATACCAAAAATGACCTTAGCATGTTCATTTTCCCATCTCATTAAGTCGGTTCAAAGTAAAGAATCTTTACAAAACAATTTTAATAACCTTTTCAGCCTTGAGAAGTTTCAGGACATTTCAACATTTTCAGCACCTAATACCTATAATACTGCGACTTTATTTCCAATATATAATACGTTGATTTTTATTGATTTTTAATTTTAATTAATAAAATCACATATTAGTTAATGCCTCCTGATTCAAACGACGTCTTATATTTTTCATGTTTGTAAATTTTCTAAAAAACAAAGTTTTACCCAATTTATACTTGAAATGTTTTATTTGTGCATGGGTAATCGAAGGAGAACCAATTATCCTTCAAAAAGGACATCTACTAAATATTCATCTACAGTATCTGTGAAGATAATCCAAAATTGGAATATAACTAATGCTTTATATCGAAAAGTATAGAGTTAGTACACTTGATCCTTGGTCAAACTATCACATCACTCAAACAAAAGATTCCCCATGCACATTAACCCCGCGGCAGCGGCACAGCAAGCTCTTCACAGTGCACAAAACTGCAAGACAACAATACAAAAAAGCGGAAACATCAATATTCAACGCAAATTCTGATAACCCCAGACTGCCTTTCATGAACTCGATAATAACACAAAACTAGCACTTGCATAGAAATGACTTGTTGTTATTGTTACAGCTAAACCGTGAACGTACGATCACATGAATATATTTATGAAGCAAGATAACAAAGTGTTTTAGCACGAAATGAAAAATAGCGGTTTTGAAATTATTTGTAACAGATCGTCCCTACTCGATGGAGATTTGTTCGACGATGAGTGGCTTTTGCGACGATCTAAGCTTTTCGCGAACCAAAGCGCGAATGAGAGCGAAGCGCGATCCGCGAATTGTACGTCGCACCAAACATAAAACTCTTAATCCACAAGATCGCGCGATCTCGGTTTTTGCACACGACATGTTCGGGAGGCGAGTGTACCTCAACTTTTGCAATGTTACGCTGGTCAAGAATCATCATTCATTAGCGGTACAAGTGAATGTCCTTAGTGCAGGTCGCAATAAACATACATCAGACAGACGTAACTGTGTTTTGCGTAATTTTGCGAACGTGTTCGGCGGCGTCATCCGTTATAACGGTGTTTTGCGTACGTACAAACCAACACAACTAACCACAAGTACCTTCCTACTATCACGAAAGAACAGACTCAACTATCAATGAAGTTGATGACAAAATGTTGCAGGGACATATGAAATACATAAAATTCTGAATGCACATTTCATCGCGGATGCAATATCTTATTTTTGAGTCGCTGCTATCTTGTTGTCAGGCGAATGTTTGCGAATGTTTTTGCAACGGACTGTGATATAACAAGTTCTTTTCCCATGTTGGAAAAATCTTTTGAAAACCAAGTGGATTTTTCTACAATCAACGAAGGTAGGTACGTTTTTGTAATATCTCAAGAGAAACACAACACTGTTTCATTTACCTATTTAAAGTAAGTACACACAATATTTAGAAATAGTTTACGACATTCAAAAACAAGACGTAATGAACTGTCGAATCCTACAAATGTATAATAAATGATGCGGCCCTCAAAATGGGAAAACTGAAAACAACGAAACTAACTAACATGCATGAGTGCAAAGATGATAAATCTTCAACATATATACGATCTTTGTCACATTATAAAGCAACAAATCATAATGGAAATATTGAAAATGTCCTTCTTACATTCCCCAAATTTCCTAAGTCACTCAGTCACATCGACATAAATCTACCAACAACGGTAAACTAGCTGCAATATCCGCTTTTGCGAAAGCAAAACATCAACCATTCTTTACTCTAAACTGAAGAATTACATATTTAAGGATTGATATTCTAATCTGAGATTCCCAAGTTAGTTGATAAACCCTGTAACTACATAAAATCCAATTATTACAACAATTTCTACAACTTTTGTTATTTATATCTGCAAATCTAAGAATTACATGTATCGCTACCTGCTAAGCAATATTCACTTCGTTTATTTAAATATCAATCCCTCATGTAATTCTGGAGAGCGATATTCTATTTAAAATTTATGTTGGCACTGAAAAAGATAAGGATTCAAGTTTGCTTTTTTTGATAAGGGCACAACGATAACAATTACAAACGATACATTCTTCAATTCTTATAAACACTGACTGTGGAAATAAATTGCATTCTTACTTTAAACAATTAATGTTTATTATCCCTTTCACTCAAAACAGCATTAAACCATCAACATAAATAAAAACAAGTGTCTTTAAATCTCTAGTAACAGGTAAAATCAATTATAGGTATATAATGTAATTAGCAATGCATACAGTAAGTTAATAATTAACAATTTTTTCTACGTAAATTGTAGTCGGACGATTAAAAAACATTGCAAATGATTAAAATGTTTTGTATTAACCTTGAATGCAGTTGGATAATAAACAAAAAAAAAACAGTCCTTTTATCGTATCTTCTTATCAGCACACAATAATTTTTGTAATCTACTTCATTAAAACAAAATATTGAGAAAAAAAATCTTCGCATTTACATAACGTGTGAATGTTATATCTATATGTAGGTAACAGGTGCTCTTTAGATATAGTTTAAAAGGACTGTTCTAAAACGTAGACGTAAAATTAATTCGTCATAGTGAACGCAAAATCAGACATTATATATTATATTTTTATATCCAAACGAAGCGTCATTATTTAAAATTGTTGCAAATATTCGTTTTTGGTTAGAAGTTACAAGCATTTTAAAGAATTGATTGGTATGGTTAAATGACCATTTTCAGAATAAAAGTCCCGCTCGATCACCCAATTAAAAACTTAAACTTTTGTGTGTTTTATTTCCACCAGTTACTAATGCTTGCAATCCTTTCGGACCATTCCGAAAGGAAGACCTTTTTCAATCTCCTTTTACGAATCCTGGAAATGTGTGTGGGTGATGGTGGTTGGGGTGAGAAAGGCGAGTCGGACAAAACGAAAACAGAAGAGAAATAAAACATTATTTTATTACTACTGTCCTAGCATTCGTCTAAGTATGTGATCCAAGAAAACTATAAAGAAACATATACCAGGGCAACTAATGCAGGTGTAGGCAGACAGTCCCTCCGGGCTATGCCAGAGGGAAAACCCTCTTCAGTCTCCTTTTAGGAATCATGGAAATGAGTGTGGGTGCTGGTGGTTGAGGTGAGAAAGATTATCTGTGGAATATAATTACTTTCCCAGCATTTGTCCAAGTAAGTGATCCAAGGAGACCACAAAATTACAGAGCTGACGGATTCGGAATCATAACGGTGTTCTCCCGAATGCAAACCTCAGCAGATCTAAATCCTTTGGATTTTTGTTTATAGAGGCACATGAAGCAGCTCTAGTCTATCGAATTGAAGTCAGTAGGTATCCATTAGCAGTTAGTCGAAAGAATTCAGGATGTAGTTAACCAAATAAGAAATCGTCCGAATCTTTAGTCCGCCCATGTATGGCTTCCATTTGATCCGGTGGTGAACATTTTCATTGTCAATTATTAATAAAGTTTTTTGTAACTTCTAAACGAAAACGAATTGGACCCACGTTCATTTAAGAAAAACTTGTTTCGAATTAACCCAGCCTTCGGACAAAGTTTGTCATAAAGCTCATAAGACACACTGTATAGTATTGAAGTGACGATTAACAGCGTCGTTGGATTCAGTGATTAGTGTTGGTGTATCAATGATAGAACAGTCATTAAAGAGCTATCTAAATATAAACCTGTTTGCCTTTTTTTTACACTCGTGGCGCCATTTTTTTAATGACATTTGATTATCACGTTGTTGAAAAGAACCGGTAGTTGTTACCTACCTATGGTACGGATCTGAAAAGCTCTTGTGCAAGCTTAAATGATAATAGTAGAATCAATTAGTAATGTGCAATGTAATAAAAAAAAGATCAAAAATAGACCGTCAGTGCAACGCATTAACAACAAATTAATAGTTGTACAATGGGCTATTAAAGAGATTGTACTTTATATAATAAACATTATTACGAAGCGCCGCTTCGGCCGTCGTGTCCGTCGTCGTTGTTGAAAGTCAAGAACCGCCATTGTACATGTTTATTATGGACTCGTGCATACACATGCACTACCACATACAAACAAGAATTTTGTTGATGATTTGTGCAACAGTCACCGTTGGTACGTTATCAGTCGTCCGATAAGATGAAAAGTCTGGGCGGACTGCGTTGTTTACATACACTATGCTGTTCACATTAAGTACTTTATATCCCTGTCGTCTCTTTTGTATAATACGTACGTCTGAAACACACGTACAAAGCAAAAAAGATAAAATTTCTTTGTTATATGTGCAAAAATTATTCTGCCTGTTCTGATCGCTGTTTTTCTACGGTTTTCCTCGGATCATTAGACAAATACTGGGGCAGTTACAATCCACACATAAACAATACCTAATAATCCTTTACTTATCATCTATCTTCATTTCGCCTGTATCACCTTTTTTTACTCATTGCAACCGAAGAGATTGAAGGGATACTCTTCCGCTCTACGCTCCAGCTTTTCACAACGTCGTAAAGAGACTGCCCACCTACTTTCATTACCAGTAGGCTACATTCAAACATTCAAAAGCTTTTCTGGCACTGATAGTGAGGAATACAGTTAGAATAAGAACTGATGTGACTATTGTATACTATTATTCAATACTCCAGCAGCAAACAAATCTCGATTTACTATCTTTCAGAAAACTACTGTGTAAAAGAAATTTAAAAAATGGATTTTCCATATTGCATATAAGTATACATAAATTTCTTAGTACTTATTATCCGCATTGTATATTCATACGCATAGATGCCCCTCTCGTTTTATCAGTTATTGAAACGTTACTTTTGACTCTTGAACTTCACTTGTCGTAAACAACGGGGCTGTTTCACTGTACTGTGTAAACATTCTATAAATGTCCGATTTTATTGTTCTAATTTTAGGCTTTGCTTACTTCTTCAGCGGCAGGAGATACCACGTAGTGCTCCAGTCCAAGTTGACGGCTGAAGAGTTTTTTTCTTGTGCCGTCACAACTTAAACTTGAATTTCAGATCTTCAACGCATCATCAAAGTAAAATGATCAACAAATACAAACGTAACCGAGCTCAAAAGTGTGAATGAATGGTAAAATTGAAGTTTAGGAAGTGTAGAAAGGATTTCAATACATATAATCGTAATGAACTATTTTGCATCGATTCATAACACTCAATGACGAGATATCGATTCAGCAAATCCAGCAAATCAGGCATATGTGCGTATTTTGCTGTGAATTTCTCCTTTCTCAAAACACTCATTAATTTATATATAACTACCACAATAGTTTGCACCTAATGATGTCCTATAGTAAGGCATAATGTACATAAGGTTCTTATTAATGTTGTAAGGGGTTTGTTGTAAAATATTATCTTTCATATAATTCTTTTGCTGCTTTAAATGCATAATACATCAAAACCTATTGAGTAAATAGGAATGATATTAATTACTGTTTAAAATAAAGAAAAAATAATCGTGACATATTTCGTGGGCAACTTTTTTCTGATGTATCGCTTTGCTGATTCGTAACAATTTGTTAAAGAAAGAGGCTGCTACAGTAAATGTTTGTTCAATTTTATAAAATGCTTTTGTATTCTGTGTTAAAGAATACGGAAGCATCAGGAAGTTCAGTGCACTTTTCCATAAGTTCGATATTTTTTATCTGTCGTGGCATTCCATTAGAAGCAACGGTACCCTCTCCTTGGCCCCCCTTCCTCCCTGCACTGCACTGCAACACACCACGGTTATTGGAACGAATGCATTCATATTATAACGAGTTTTAATTCAACGAGATCTTTCTTATAATATCAAACATTCAAGTTTCGAGAACTAACGGGCCATTTTCATTTAACTACTGACTCCTCTACTGCAGCATAATATTGTACTGCTGCGTTCCCTGACCATCTTCTTGTTTGATAAGTACGTATTAATATACTTGATGATATACATCCTTGCATGGGCAAATACTTTTCTCAAGCAAACAATCTATTTATTCGCTTATTCACAACTTACACATCAAGTATTGTCAAAATTAATTTATTATTTTAAATTGCAATAAATAGACGTACATTCTGAAGTATGTAAATCGTATTCTAGACAGTGTACCAAGGTTTCCATTTTTCCACTTTATGAATGTTTTCTTTATGGCCAAAAAGTAATAAAATATAAAGTAAATTAATAAAGAGAACAATAAAATGTATGTTTTCGTAAAGAGAATTTATGATTATGTTACAATTCTTTTGCAAGCATACAGAAGCTCAAGAAAATGAAACGAAACTTGCAAACTAAACGTGATATGCAAAATTAGAAACAAAAGGATTTGCATTATTTATCCATCATTATGTTGGACAAAAAAGAAATATG